GGCTCCCTTTGATATTTACTGAACAAAAGGCTACACCCTAGGTGCAGTTTTATGGAACTTGGCCTTGATGGATCCTCGCCAGCATCATTTCAAGCTTAATGGTCATGCTCATCTAATCTCATCTGACGTTGGCTCTCTTTCTCGTACCAATATCTGTCCTTTGTATGGACAAAGCCCGTCCTTTGCACAGGCAACTTTTATCACGTTTAGCAACATTCAAACATTTGAACATGGGAGGGGAAATTCGAAATGACCTGGATGGGAGAACCTTAACCCAACACGAGGGGGGGACTCTGTACTCTGTAGTCTGTAGTGATACCAAAAGAAAGAAACTTGGAGATGGATATACATCAATAATAGCTGCTTGAACTGATGTTGATGTGATTTAGTAGAACAAGAACATCATTTTTTGAATAGTCTGTAACAGCCAAACTGAGATAGGGACAGGAGTTGTGATATCAATTTGTACAACATTGGAGGGCAAAATCGAAAATGACTTGGATGAGAAAACCTTAGATCACGACGGGTGGGAAAAATCTGTAGCAATGTAAAAAAAATTTGAGATGGACATACATCATTGGTAGCTGCTTGCTTGGACTGAGTTTGGTATGGCATAGTAGCACATCGTCTTCCGAATCTGCAACAAACAAACTGGGATTCCCAAATGGTCGTTAAAAGGACTTGGGATATTGATTTGTCCACCATGAGAGGGGAAAATTGAGGGCAATAGGATGAGAGGTAGCACATGGGCTTGAGGTTGTGGAATGCTATGAAAATGTTCCGCTGGGGACCAATTCTTACCAAAAAGTTGGCCAGAGGAACACAAGACCTGCCACTTGATCATTTTTGGACCTCTTCACTTCTTTCTATATACATTGGCAAAACCCCTTCCAGCCTTGACAGGGCAACACACGTACTTAAGGACATGAGATTGCTGATCCCAATTGCTTTCTCAATCATCCCATCAACATTCTGTCAAATAAAAGTGACCACAAGACCTTCTGCTCCATCATTGTTGGATGATCTTGTTTGTCAATCCAACAGAATGATGAAGCAATGATTGGAAAAGCAATTGTCAGGCCAGTAATCACTCTCCAATTTAGGTGGGGTTGTTTTGCCTGATCGTGGCTAGGAGGTGATCGAGAGTGTGTCCACAAACGTCCACCAGCCGACTACAAGACCTGCTGCTCCATCATTAGCCATTGTTGATATCTCATGCAACCAGATTATCCATATCTGATCTTACTATGCTAGTACTATGCTAGTACTTTTTCTACCAGCTTTGCCATAGAATCACTTCCTTTTCCCATGGTGTGTGGGACTTGTTCTTTTTATTTAGAATGGAATATCTAGAGTTGATATGTTGTCTATATCTTTCCTTTCCATTCTTTTCCCCTTCTTTCTCCTCTTTCTTGAACCAGAAATATGATATGACAGCCCAATTTAGATATACTGTGTAGCTGACTTGGCAGTCATTCTTGTCGTTCATGATGCACCAGTAATCAATATACACTTTATGCTATGCCCAATCTCCATACCTACTACTACTAGGTAGGAATGATGAATGGTATACTTGGTACGATTGTTAAGAATTTACAATTAGAATTGACTGTGAGTAAGAGCATTATTTCCTTCATTCACCACGTCGTACAGGTGAAAGAAAATTGAAGTGGCCCTCACACAATGTACGATGTAGCTTGGTCCTCTGGAGATGAATTTTCCATTGCTTGTTGCAATGGAGCTGCAGATGGCAGAGAGGGCACCGAAAGGATGAGCCAAGGAGGCTTGAACACCCAGAAAAGATGCTTCATGCCTTCCATAAAGGGAAGGTGTACATCCTCCTTGTCTTGGGTGCGAGGGGGGAACTGGCTCACAGGCCAATTGTTGCTACATAGAACCTCAATACATACCAAGAATATGCTTGTGGGGATGATTCCTTGATGGTAAATCAGTGTAATTTGGGGAAACCAATTGGTTGAACAAGTTGTTGGAAACGAAAAAGTATGGGATGGCAGTCTATCATTGGTAGTTTTTTGAGCTTGTTGCGTCAGCATCAACCGGACAGGGTCAAAGTTTCATTTTAGGATGATGATGTATTCGATTTGGCAGTCCTTTTATGGTTATCCAGAGTATACTACTATTATTACTACAGAGTATATTCAATGTAATATTGTTGTTACTACGTAGTTCTACTTACAGTTAGTAAGTAGAGGTAGTACTTAGATTGAGCATCGTTTTAGTGAGGGAGAGTAGTTGTGATACTGGAGGATGAAAGGATCATAAAAAATTCGGAATTTTACTCTATCATACTACACAATATTTATATTTACATTCACCGTATTGTTTGAAAAACATTAAAAACGATGCGTTGACTGTGAAAGCCGAGCTACTAGCTAGTAGTTCCAAAATGATGTTTATAATATGGGACAGAGGAAGTACTCCTTGGTGGTAGTGATGAAAGGTAAACTATCAGTAAGTACTACAGTAGGATGTACGTACG